CATAGCCCTCTATCGAAGATTATGTTGCCATCCACGGCGCATCCCCTGAGCGAAAACATCGCGGCGAACCACCCCCGTAGAAATCCTTTAACCTTTTGCACTTTCATGCTACATAAAAAGTAAATTTACGCTTTCACTTCGGAAATGTTTATTTTACTATCTCATTTCATTTTTATATTCCTAGATCATTACATTTCTACGTCTTTTTATTTTTGCGTTACATTTCTGTATTTACTGATTTATTTCACACTTGTAGACATATACACATATAGATATGTAGATTTATAGACATGTAGGCTTATGCACATATAGATATGTAGATTTATAGACATGTAGACTTATACACATATAGATATGTAGATTTATAGACATGTAGACTTATACACATATACATATGTAGATTTATAGACATGTAGACTTATACACATATAGATATGTAGATTTATAGACATGTAGACGTATACAGATATAGATATGTAGACTTATAGACATGTAGACGTATACACATATAGATATGTAGATTTATAGACATGTAGGCTTATACACATATAGATATGTAGATTTATGGACATGTAGACTTATACACATATAGATATGTAGATTTATGGACATGTAGACTTATACATATATAGATATGAAGATTTATAGACATGTAGACTTATACACATATACATATGTAGACTTATAAGCATGTTGACTCATACACATATAGATATGTAGATTTATAGACATGTAGATTTATACACATATAGATATGTAGATTTATAGACATGTAGACTTATACACATATACATATGTAGACTTATACACATATACATATGTAGATTTATAGACATGTAGATTTATACACATATACATATGTAAATTTATAGACATGTAGACTTATACACATATACATATGTAAACTTATAAGCATGTAGACTTATACACATATACATATGTAGATATATAAACATGTTGACTTATACACATATAGATATGTAGATTTATAGACATGTAGACTTATAAACATATAAATATGTAGACTTATAGACATATAGACTTGCAACCATATATGTATACATAAATTTAGACGTACAGAGATCTGCAAATGTGTCTACCAGTCTACATATATGTACCTATATATCCTTAAATCGTTGCATCTTTAAAAATTGATACCGATACGTCCCTCTACCCCAGTAATACTCAAGAGTTTCTGGGAAAGGGGAATAAAATTTAAGCCCGTCTCTCCGTGTTTTCCTGTTTCCGCGAAATACGATCGCGACATTGGTCTCGAAAGCACATCCCAGCGATTCGAGATGATTCAACGGGGATGAACGGCGAGGAAAATGGCACCCTCATGATTTTTTAACGTCGAACGCTTTCACGGCCGTATGGCGAGCCTGTGCCCCCGTTTTCGGTGTTATTTTTCAAGGGGTGACTACCACTTCTTTATTAATCCACCAGGAATATTTTCCACGTAACCTTATCTCGACAGCGGTGATCCTTCGTCGAAGACTTTCCCAAAAAAATCGCACGCTTTCTGTAATATTTCTGAATTCGCGGATCACCCCCGAAAGGAATTGTTTCATTTTCTTGGACACGACAAGGCACATTTCTTTCGATTTTCTTTTTTCCGGAATCGTTATTTTTCTCTTTCTCGGAGAATAGTCAGCATTCCAAATGGGACGACCTAACGCATCGAGGGTGCGTTTGATTCATTTCTTCGAGGGGGTTTTGCTCGTCAGCCTCTATTCGCCACGCGTTTCAAGAACCTTTTTTTCCTCTAAACGAGCGAAAATCCACCCCCGAAAGATTTTACACGGGCGTTGTAAGCCGGTGCACTTAATTTAAAGATCATCCACCGACGAAAAGTCGAGGGTGCCTTTACTCCTCCTGCAAGTTCTACGGGGGGTGCATTCCGCTTTACAGTTCATTTCACTTTTCCCGCCGTCTTTCCCCGCGGTTTTCCTTGTCCTGCGTCTTCTAATTTTTATTCTTCGCTTAATCGTTTATTTATCGATTAAAGACCCAACGATTTATTTGTCCGTTCGAGAACTCCTTTACTCTGGAGAGCTTTCAGGATTCGACTTGAATTCAGGAGCCTTTTTACGAGTTCCAATTTCGCGGAAATCTAATGCTGCGACTAAACGATTCCTTATCGGTGCAGGATCTTGAAGGTCGGTGTCTGAAATACCTAAGAGGCGTCCATTAGACATGTACAATATAAAGATCTAACAAGGAGAGTGCAAGGACTTGAACGGATTTAATGACATCAGTATTTATAATGCAGCAATCTAACATATATCAGTCTAGAATCCATTCATCAAGAACATAGAAATATATAATATCAATGCTCCTCAAAATCTCACCCCAACAATTTTCAAACTACCCCAATTTTTCCCAACAATCGCAAACATTCGATTCAACGCATTCGAATCCCCGAACGCAATATAGAAAAAGCAAGTAGCGTATAAAGAAGTTTGCAGATTAATGCGTAACGTCAGCGGTGATCAAGATCGCGTTCGATCGTCGATCGGTGTCCGGAGTTTCAAGAATCGCGGTCGATTCGGTTTGGCGTTGACACAGAGTCCCGCAGAGAGGAGAGAAGGGAGTCAGCTACGTAGGCATGTGGCAAATTGCCGGTGCTGCCAACTCGCAGGGACCTTTGTCTATCTTTCTCCGTTGGTTCGTTCGCGGAGGTGGAGGCGCCTCCAAAGAGAAGGTGGAGCAAGAAAAGGAAGGACGAACTGGAAGAGCCGACGCGGAGACAAGAGGCCCGCAGGACGAGGTGGAAGGAAGGCGGCGGGTAATCTGTGATTCAAAGAGAGCGATCCATCTTGCGACATGCCAACATTCAATCGTCGGCATTTGTTTGTGAAATCAGTCCCGAAGGACTCATCCCTCGACCTCGTCTACCTTGCTCTCTCCTGCGTTCTTTGAGAAAACGCGCGAAAATCCCTCGTGGAAATTCTTCTGATTTTCGAGGGTGCGTTTGCAGGAGCTTCGGAAACAAAATGGACGATCGTCTAAAATGAACGTTGCTCTCCGATTAGTTTCTCCAGTTAGAGTTGATCGGCCTTAATTTATTTCACGATACATTTTTATGGAAAATATATTTTGTTGACTACACTACTAAGTAAGCTAGAATTAACACTGAACCATATAATGTGCAAAGAAGTTAAAAAATAAATAAACAAACGACGAAACATAGATTAGTACACACATATCTTGATGAAACTCAATGCTGATTTCAAGAAATGTACTTTAACAAAATGTGTATCTTATAAGAAACTTGTGGAGCTGCCATTTGATCGGTTTAGTAGTTTCAGCGTTACCATCGACATTCGAATAATTTTCCAAGGGAGAATGTCCCTTGGAAACAGCATGTGACGTCACCGTTTTCAGGATGCAAAAAGGATCCGATAAAGGGAAGAAACGCATGATCGAAGCCAAGCAGGGCTAATCAGCCCATATATATTTATTCAGGGATGCGAGGGCGGACTCCGCGTCCCCAGGCCGAGAGGACGAATGCAAAGAGCTGGAACGGGACGTGGCTTAGCATTCGGAAAAACTGGAATGCCGGGGATAGATTCGTGCTTCTGATCCGTGCCAGATCCCATAAAATGACCCCAGCTCGATCGAGTGGCCCTGCTCGAGGCGCGGGAAAAGAAACGGGAGAAACAAGCAACCCCTAGAAAATTATTGCTCTCCTTATACATTCGCCGAATTGGGGCCACGGCGAATAAACTGGTGCCCTTTTGGACCCGATACTGGGGCCGAAAAAACTAATGGAAACAGTACAAGAAAAATAGTGCTTTACATTTTCATGAAACTCCCAAGAAAAATACTACTTTGTGTTTATTTTAGGTTTGCGTGGTTTTTTAATGACGAATGTGTTAAGGGTTGAAACGATCTTTTTTTGACTTACTCATTTGCAGTCCTTGATTTGTCAAATGTATTGCAATAGGGGTATATATACAAGTACATACATATTACATATAAATACATATATGTATACATACATACATATTACATATAAATACATATATGTATACATACATACATACATACATACATACATACATACATACATACATACATACATACATACATACATACATACATACATACATACATACATACATACATACATACATACATACATACATACATACATACATACATACATACATACATACATACATACATACATACATACATACATACATACATACATACATACATACATACATACATACATACATACATACATACATACATACATACATACATACATACATACATACATACATACATACATACATACATACATACATACATACATACATACATACATACATACATACATACATACATACATACATACATACATACATACATACATACATACATACATACATACATACATACATACATACATACATACATACATACATACATACATACATACATACATACATACATACATACATACATACATACATACATACATACATACATACATACATACATACATACATACATACATACATACATACATACATACATACATACATACATACATACATACATACATACATACATACATACATACATACATACATACATACATACATACATACATACATACATACATACATACATACATACATACATACATACATACATACATACATACATACATACATACATACATACATACATACATACATACATACATACATACATACATACATACATACATACATACATACATACATACATACATACATACATACATACATACATACATACATACATACATACATACATACATACATACATACATACATACATACATACATACATACATACATACATACATACATACATACATACATACATACATACATACATACATACATACACACATGCATACATATGTATTACATACACACATACATTCATATGTTAAAAATATGTATTCAACTATTTACCTGAATTATTTACAAGATCCAAGAGAAGTGTTTGACCATACTCGTCACAGAAGTGCAAGAGTACCGTTCATTCTATTACTGAATATTAAGTACTGAATTCGAAATTGTAAATGAAGGAGCATAAATAAAATATAGAACAGTTTTATTAAAATGTACAGTAGTTTAAAAATAAAATTAAAAATAAAAGCTACTAAAATTAAAAGTAAAAGGTCACTTTCCTCTGTCTTGGTCTTGGAGTACACTTTTCGAGATATGGTGGTAGTCGAGATACCTGTAGCCTTGTGTGAGTTGTGCACAGCTATTGACGAAGTGACACGCGAACAGCAACAAATTTCGTGGCTGCACTCTGACCGCGAATCTCATGAATACCATGGAATAGAGTGCCAATGCTGAAAATTAAATAGCTGCAAATAACGCAACACAACCGTATTCTATTTGTGGCAGACTTCCTGCTGATGTCGGAGTATAAAATGTTTTTGTATAGAATAAAATAATCTGATGCAAAATTTTGCAGTTTGGGAAAGAGAGTACGAAAGGGTAACAAGAGCTCATTAAGGAATGAACGATTCGTAGCGTTCAATTATTTTATGGATCTCTTTTCTTCTGTCCGTTCTCGTCGGTTTGTCGTCGCGATACATGATTATTAAGAGCGACGAATTCCTCGAAAGGTCCACGACAATGGGGACGATGAAGACGCTGAGAACTCACCCAAAGTCATTTCGCCGCTAATGATCCTCGGATGCTTTTGCGTGTCGGCTATGGTCGCTATGGGTATCATCCAGTTGAACACCGGTCCCCAGAAGTGCGTGCTTAAAAAGTACATATTTCGTTTTCCATATATTCTCGATATCCCGTCTCCTAAGGTGAGAACGTATCTCTCTTGGCGAATATAAAAAAAGCAAGGAGGAAAGGAGGGGAAATGAAAATGGGATATGTATGAGGAAATTCAAGGATCCGAGATTACAAGCGCGACAGAATCGCTTTCAGGGTTGCCCTGGAGATAATAAAGATTTTTATGACGTAACTAGAGTCCTTTTTACTCGTCCCTCTCTTTTATTCGCTATCTCGTTTCGCTAACAATGCAAACATCGTATTTTCGGACGATGGCGGATTAACCTCGATCGATGCCGATCGCGACGATTACCTCATCAAATAGTTCCTCGTTTCTTTGCTGAACAGACCGTTGGATGAGCCTTTTGCCATTTCTTATACTATGTTCTTTCCAAAGACATAACCTCTCTACTTTGGATAGTTCCTAGTCGACTTTCGTTCCTAGTCGACTTTCGTTCCAACATTCCATACGAAAATTATAAAATTAAAATTCTACAAAAGCATCAGCGTGTATAATTAACGTAACGAAGCGTCATCGCTGTCGTGTCTTCAATTATTTTTTCGAGACTCGAACAACTTCGTGATCCATCATATTCAACGATTCACCCCCGACACCAATTGATTTGCATAACAGTTTACACGCATAATTTATCATTACCCTGTCGCCAGGGTCTCTTTTTTACGGAGCTCTCGAGCCACCCTCATAATAAATGCACAGGTTATTATTTCGCGCGTATAATATTGATGGCGCTATGAATGTTGCATGGAGGGGTGCAAGGAGCGTAGTTCATCTGGGGGGTGGAAACCAGCTCGCTTATGGGGGATGTTACGTCGCACATGCGCTCGAAACGGAATGGTATTATTGATCTGAGATGGGGGCGGACAACCCTCGGAGTCCCAGCAACGTGTCGCGATCATCTGGCACCCCTGTCTTCGACCATATTCAAAGAACTTTTGTACAAAATGGCCGGGAGAAAATGTTCATACATAAATGCTTCATACAGACAATATTTAACAAACAATATTTAACAAACAATATTTAACAGACAATATTCAACAGACAATAATAAAATTGTCTGCAACATAAAAATAATATTAATGTGACTTAATGTACTATAGCAGTAGGAAGTCTATGTACATGTAGAAGTTTAAGATAAATTTTGTCCTTGAATATATTTCCTCGAATTGCTACATCTGTCCTTCTTACTCAAACATCTCGAACATTATTTTATGTAATTTTATGCAAGATCTAAGATCGTAGAAAAATATTTGAAGGAAAGGTTGAGATGTTGATGCGAGAAGTGTCAGGTTTCTAGGACCCCAAAAACGCCAGAGATGGACGTACCTGCGCTCACTATTCCCTGCATATGCATTCCCGCATGTGCCACTCGCACATTTCCCCTTGGAGCAAATCCTTATCCCGTAGGTCCCCCAGGCCACCATTCCAGCCACTCAAGAGTATTGCTGCTATTTTCCGTCTCGCGTATTATGGCCGGTGTATCTGTATGTCGTTTCCATCTGCCTTTTCCTTCGATCATATTTCATTTCGTTTTAATTGTTCATGTGCTTTATGTCATTTAAGATTTTCATTTTCCTCAAAATTACTTTTATACTTCTTTGTTCAAATATGCTTCTCTGCTTAAAAATTTTAGCAGTTAAAATTTTTTACAAGTCTAAGTACAGAGGTTAATGAATGTACTTAAGTCTAATGTAAAAATTCAAAGGTGCTAACCTAACCTAACCTATTTTCATGACCCAAGTTGTGACAGTCAAATATTTTTTGCGAAAGAGCAAGAAACTGCGAGGTAACGAGAGAACGATACAATCGTACGTACACATACAAGCTTGTATTTGTATTCGGTTGGAGGGAATGGCATGGACTTTGATGTTTCTTGCTGACGCGTCCCGAAAACCTTTTCTATACGTTCTTCTGAGACTGATCTGAATGCGTCCTACGTATTTGCCAACCCCTCTGGACCTCTTTCGCCCGAATACCCGCCGACAGCTACACTCACCCCTTGATACACGTTTCCTCTTTCCCTTCGCGGGTAAAAAGTCGCACTCTACTCGAATACATTCTACGACCCTTTCTTACGTTCATTGTAATCATCCTGACTCTGAATTAACATTCTTTAAATCATATTACGGAGGAATTATATTATTTTGCTAATAGGGTAGGACTTATATCCTTGCTGGTGAGATTCGTATATTATTAATACATACATCTTATTTTTTTTTATGAAAGAGTCTATGATTATTTCTGCATCGTACAGCAGTTCTGTTGAAACCTTGAGATGCCCTTCATAATTTTTCACTTATACATTTAAAAATTTCGAAATTTTCAAACCACATCTAAAGATCAACAATTTAAACATCACATCGTAGACTCGAACGATTTTAAACCTCAAAATCTTTTCCAAGGTAAGTCTTACGCACCCACGTTACTAATCAGTATCGAAGTGCATCGAGCTTTACTTCTGTGGAAGAAGAAAAGAGTGCCGGACTCGACACGCAAGTATTTCCTCGAGGTTTCTGTATCTTCAGAATCTCGGAGCGGAAAGCCGTACAAAGGGCCGTGCGACAAGCTTTTGTCCGCGTTTCATCGGCCAGTCGATGCAAATCAGTCAGCAGCGCTCAAGAAGAGCATCGAGGGCCTCTCTTTATGTCCGACCGTTTCCCTTCCTCCTTATTTATGCACTCGCTTTCGGAGTAATTGTTTCCTTCGGATGCTTCCTCCCGCAGAAAGATAGTCTCGCCTTGATGCACCGCCACAGGCTTCCACGCATTCACGGATCTGCGCGTGTCACCTTCCGTCTCTCCTTCGGTCTCCCCGTCACCACGCTCGGACGTCAACTTCTTTGGTCCTTCTATCGTTTCCCGCGCGGAATCCGCTCCGGATTCCAC